CACCTGGTCGTACAACATCAACTAAATATGAAGCTACTGTGGTGATACAGCTTCTCTTTTACCTGATCAACCGTCGAAATGATGGAGTCATGTCATAAATGCCGGCCAAACCTTACTTCGAATTTCTCAAAAGTAGGCCCTTGTATGACAAAATTTGCTAGCTCTCACATACTCCCTTTGGTTTTGCAGGCGACGAAGTGATGGACTGAATTTTTTAAGGCATTATGCTTTCTGGTGTAGAGTGATTTCACTGAATCGACCATCAAAGGAGTGGTAAAAATTTCATTTGCCTTTGGTACCCTTTGCGTACGGGTCAACTCATATGCAAAAGTCATGTGTATACTTCTTCCTTGGTAGTATGGCTTATACGTGTTTAACGTGCAACTTCTGTGAATTTATGATGTTTCTAAAATTTAGATTTTTCTCGGTGGTTAGTTATTGAATTCGCAACTGTTAAAAAAATCGATCTCGGTACTTGTGTATTGGGCTAATTTTCTATGTTTGATGATGTGCTTATAAATGCATTTATTAGCTTATGATGGAAAAAATATACAACCACTAATACTGTTACTATTACTTATAATTAGTAACGTATATATTATATAGATACACAAAACTGTGTAACATATAACACGCCTGAGCCAAAAGCCAGACAACGTTATGACACTTGTGCCAGGGTCTGTTAAACTGAAGACGTTCAAACGGACGTGCTGCCTTCGATTGTGGAATGTTTTTTATTGGAAACAAGAATTATTATTTCTTTGGCTGTTTTGCCGTAGTCGTTCCACTCCCAAATGCTCTCCTACGAGGTTATTCTGAGTCTCAGTAGGAGTCTTGAATATTTTTAGTCCGAGCGAAAACTGTTACGAAAGTTCTGTCAACATCAGCTTGATCTGTTGCAGCCATTTTCATAAAAAACAAATAACGTAGACTTATCTGCGAAGAATATGTACATTTTGCGGCCAAATAGTGTAAACCGAGTTGCTTTTATGTTTTTAATCTCAATATAACTAATTTAGGCTTCTAAAGCTGCAAAATTTATCACAACTGTTAATGTTCTCCAAGCTGCCATAAGAACAATCGGCCTGAGAGGTTACTGCCAAATGACAAAAGACCATGTACTGCACAAAGTTTTCGGTGATCTTTCCTCTTATCTTGACAATTTATTCATGCATTTGGTTTACATGCATTCAAAAAACTGCCTTCGTAATTTTGAACTGAATGCACCGCTTAAAATCCGTGGAAAAGCGTTCGAAGTTGTGGAGTGTTCTGAGTACCTTGGAAGCGTGAGAGATTAGATCAGTCCAAAAATCTGCAAAGCTAGGGCCAAGCTTGCTGATTTGAGACACTTATGGAGTCAGAGAGTTATAACTCTGAATCTCAGGCTGTATAATGCTACGATACAGGCTATTTTGTTGGATGGCTGTGAGACTTCTCTTACTGCAGCAGTTAAACTGAGATCTTCGACAGTCATTGTTCGAGAGCAATAACTTGTGTGATTTGATGTTATCGAATGTGTAACGAGGCAATTGAGGAGTAAGTTTTCCCCTTGGAACGAGGGGTTTCATTAAATAATGTGACCAGCACCAGAATTGGCGTTGCTTAGGCCATGCACTACGCACGTCGAACCATCATTTGCCGAAGAGAGTGCTACTTCCCGTGCCAAATTCGGAGTGGCGAAAGCAGAGAGGTGGTCAACCATTGACCTGGCAGAGTAGCATAAAAGTAGTTACAAAACGTCGATAACACCATTCTTCCAGGATGAAAAGTGCGTGATCGATACTGCGCCTGGTTGGAGAAGCTGCAAGATATGGCTACCAATCGATGTCCATGGCGTTGGTGTTGTCAATTTCTAACTCGATTGCATGAATGAGGGTCTATGGGTGTAGGCAACATAGGATAATTGTGATGGACTAGTATTTAGTCCTTTCCCAGTCCACCTTTATTATATTTTACAACAGGACTCCCAAAAAGCTCACGTTTGTACGGCAGCAAAGCTTCCTTTCTGACTAGTGATGTCATGATCGCGACGACGACGTCACTTTGGTTCAAATCTGATTTTTATTAAAATGTTCGTTATACGGGATATGTTACCACCAAAGAATAAGTCCTTTGGAATTCCAGAAGATGGTATCATTCAAGTATTTCCCTAAGGGCAGCTTTCTGACGTTCTGAAGACTAGAACACATCAAGTTTCGGCATTGACTAGAAGTAATTTGAAGAGTGACAAACGGACGTTATCCTCCTGATTTAGGGAACGCTCTCCTGATTCAAGCTACCAAATATTTCACAATGCTGCCAGAAGCATGATCGGGTATTAGTTTAGATGGTAAAGTAAGAATTGCAAAAATTTTACTGATCCGCGTTATTCCAGAGTGGTGTTACGGTTAGAGATTTGGATTTTTTGGCCCTGAAGCATGCAAATATTGACACTTTGCAGTTCCGAACAAGGGCAGAAATAGCTTTTTACATAAAATACCGTGAGGTCGGTCAAGAAATGGTTAGAAATGGTTATTATTAATATGGCTATGTTGCAGAACGTGTCCAAAGACCTTGCGATTTCCAACATAAAGTTATTGTTTTTATTTTATACGTCTAGATAAATGTTCGCATTTGGGTCCCAATGTGAGTGGATTATCAAAAGAGCGTTTTCAAGATTGCATGTTGATCACCACAAAATGTCGATGCTGCCTGAGGTTCAGTCGTACCACTATTTATCAAAAAGTCAAAGAGGAAACTGTGAAACATTGGGGATAAATTTGTCACCTAGCTTGAAAAGTGAAATTGCCTGAGGTTTTTTCTCTACCAATTAGCATCGGAATATGGTAAAAAAAAACAACCGAGGCACATACTCATGTTGGCATACCATGGAGAAAACAGGTTATTTGGCCCAAGAAGTTGATAGATGCTGGGAAACGGTGGGATTAATGGGATTAATGCATGTTTAGGCCGATCTGGATCTGGTGACAGAATATTTCGATGAAAACGTACAAAACTTGTGGTCTATGCCTAAGGGATAAAGTGAATAAGCCATAATAGAAATTTAGAAAAACTTGGATAAAAAACTGGGAAGAAACAAAGGTTTTTCAACAGCGTGAGAGCTAACTCAACAAAATTCTCTCGGAAGTAAGGGAAGGGGTTATAGTCAAAGCGGTTAACACTGTCCAGTGTAGAAGGAAGTAACTATTTTTCCCACTGGTCGCAGTAGCGCGTTATTAAGCACTTAGGTGAAGTTGAACCCTCTAAAAATTTTCAATAGCAGGGGATAAGAGGGGCGGGGATTTCTATTTTTCTGTGGTGACGTTATCTTAAGTTGTAAACAACCTCTGAGTTTACAGAGTCACACTATGTATGCAGTGACCTAGTCGTGTGTCAATCTAGTCTTCAGATCAAGAAATCTAGAAAACAACGGAGAGGTGTACACACCACCACAAGCAGGGTAAGGTAATGGTGACAGTGTAAAATCTAAAAAGCATAGGAATTGAGGAAGATTTCCACTGGATTGAAGGTGATAGTTTTGTGATTCCCTGTTTTACTGCAAAATACAGGTTAAAATTAGCTAATTTTGCCGGGTTTACAACAGTCGAAACCATTTTGTCGTATCGTATCTAATGCGAATAAAGTCAACCTGCCTTACCCACTGTCTATTGAGGATACAGAGTTTGATTGCGTAAGTAAGGACTGAAAACAAATTTGGCAGAATTACGGAGGTAAGTGGAAATCGAGTGAAGTATGAATCATTAGTAGAAGAAAGCGTGCTTGTTTTATGGCACCCAAACAGATCTTGGGCAATGACCCAACAACTAGGGTTGAAACCCCTGAAATAATACGGTTATGTTGCTTACTGAGAAAGAAAATGGTTACAGATAAAACAGAATGCGAAACGATGGCAGTGAGCATCAGCAAACATGTGAGACCAACTTACATAAATTAAAATTGAAGCGTATGAGGCGAGGAAATACTCTACTGGTTGAATGGTCCACTTGGTTTTTGAGATCAGACCGAATAGCCTGGCTTTGTAGTGGTGACTGTATCTTGTTTATGAGCAAGAAGATACTACTAACTTGAGGTGGCCCAAGAATCCCAGTGGAGTACAGTTACACACCAAAAATGTGAAGTTTAGCACCCAGAAGAACCGGAATTAAACGTGGATGCTAATTGATACAACAAAGAACTGGAAATCAAGTTCATTACACAGTCACCGTCTTTCCTCAAGTGTCTCAAATGTGGGATGAATCAAATTAACAGGTTTATTCTGCTAGGCTGATTCATCTGGTAGACGAGACTTTTTCCTTCATGGGTGACTGTTTACGCCGCCTCATATTCTATGAAGGTGAAATGGTTCCACGCTTGCTGTTTAACCGTCAAAATTTCATATGCCATTAAAAAGCGAGTAAAGATATCAAAATCCTTTGTTCTTGGTCGGCGGATTCAATAATTCAAAAGTTTGAGATAGACCAGATAAATGATCACGTATTTTCTACAAGCATTGTCGATTGTGATTACCGTGTTCGAAAAGCAGCCTTTGGTCAAGTGATGTGTAAATATGAAGTGTTTATTATCAATTTGTCTTCTTAGTTTTCAGGTAACTGCCATTTTTATCGAATAAAGTAAACAAGCGTGACTAACAGTTCTGGAAGGCACCGCGATCGGACGATGCATGTAAAAAGTATCACTGAGCTGAAGGCAGATATAATTGCATATTATTCCGAAAATGGTGTCCCAGCCGTTGTGGAAAAAGCCTTAAACTCCATGTTTCATCACAAACCGGGTGATACCAACGGATTCATTGTGAGTATGCAAGATATACAAGAACCAATGTTTCTCTGTCACAACTAGAGCTCATATTTTGAGCGACTGGCTGCCTGTCCGACTATCAGTTCCATTCATTTTGTAAACAGTTGGAATAGTTTTGGCTTACCCATTCGAGTTGTTGAAGTTTCCGGAGTGTGGAAAAATCAGCAGAAGGTGAGGAACCAGTTTTATAACAACTGCTTCAGAAATTGGCCCAGCTGAGCTGTCCGTATCAACACTCATCCAATAATACGAGTGATGAAGTTGTATCACCCCTTCTGTGTGAAATTCTGGAAATGTTAAAGGGAAAAACTATAGACTATGTTCTTCTCTGTGAGATAGATTCTAAGCTGAGGTAAAGTGAAATGTCATTCATTGTTTTTTTGTCAAGTAAAGTACTATTGCTGAAAAAGTTTAGTAAAACACAGCTAACGCTTGAGAGTTCAATGAATATTTGCAAAACATAGGAAAGCAAGTTATCGGTCTACTGAGCTCAGCTACGTTTTATTCCGAACCAAAAGACTCTAATTTAGTTTATGACATGTGTGAATCAACTCCTTGCAAAATTTTTTATTGAGTGCCATCTAGCAAACACGAGAAGGATAAACTTAGATTCTTTACCCTGAGGGCTGTCTGCGTACAAATAAGTCGGACCTGGTGAATAGTTTTCAGGTTCACTCATTGTTATTAATACTTCCTACCCGGTGGTTTACCGGTGGATGGTAAAGTGCCTGTTTGGTGAAAATTGCCCCCAACATGCGTTAAAAGCTTACCTTTTTATATATTCCTATATACATATTCCTTCCCGTTATGTACGGTGGTTTCCATTCTAGCCCTTAGTACTGGACAGAGCTCTCCAGGATTTCAACAGCCGTTGAAACTCTGTGATTCGACAAAATGTTTCGTCATATATGAACATTAAGTAAATGCGAAGTAAACATAGGATTACTCGTAGCTTTCTACTAATAAGATTCTGAAAGCAGTAAACAGTAGACGTTCACAAAAAACTAATATGGGGAAATTATCAAGTCACTGTTGCGAATATACAGTTGGGTGGCCTCGGGGGTTTGCCGCACCAAACTCCTACGAAGATTATACTAGTTTTATGGGAAGCTTAAACCCATGACTCATAGCTCTGCACCTCTTTCAGTCCCATTTGGCTTTCACGAGTTGTCTTGCAGTCTATTAGAGAAACAGATACTCTGACTAGGCCCAAGTTGTTTCACACAGCATTAGCTGTCCGGATTATCGAAGCGAAAAATGTAAAATCATGTTGTTCTACCGCCGTTTACTTTCGGGAATGATCTGAAACACTTTCAAAAATAAAACGAATTCTGTTAGAAGTCATTTTTCTGCTAAGCTGAGCGTTTGTAATCATTGATTTATATTCGTAGGTCATTCTATGATTCCCTGATGGGTATGCAGCAGGAAGAAAACTCCAGTACGTTTCGAAGTCGGCCCGTGGAAGTTGAAACGCAGCGCACTACTGCCAGGTCGCAGAAATCAAGAAGTCCTTCGAAAAGGTTTGTGGTGCAACCTAGTTATTAAATCTTTCAGTTCAAACAAAGTTTCTCACGAGATGCATCATGTGACTGAAATGTCTTCATTCCACCTATTCTGTCGAAGATTGTAGCCCAGTCGTCTTTGGTTTCTTGTTCCTTTACTCCACTACACTTAAATTTCCAATCTGTTCCGAATGGTATACTTGGTCAGTCAAATGCCTATGCATTTCCTACGGATAATTTTGTCAACATCAGTTCCCCATCGTTATGCCGAATCAGATAAGAAAGCAAGATTTGCTCTGGAGTTTCACTAAACATTCTATCAGTTACCAGAAAATCAGACATCCAGACAGGTTTCTCCTCTCCGTGCACTTTTCGGGGGGCTAAATATTATGTATCACAGGCGGACTTGCTAAGCACAAAACTGAGACAAGTGGTTAGCTAGTAACTTTGATACGATTCCGCCAGCGTTTAAAATTTGCTGCTTGTCAGAAACCTTTTAGACCAGGCACTTTAGACAGGGTCATTGTCCTGATGCCGAGAGGCTGGCTAGTCTAATCAAAACGATTTTTTTAATATGATTTTTCCACGATGAGGCGTAATTCAAACTCAGCACTCTCAAACGTCCCAAAACTCCTTCTCTTCACTTGCAGAATCACTTATTTTAGTATTTTCCGTGACAGCTCTCTCAATACGGACGACTAGATTTAAGCAAAAAGGAATCATTTGAGGAGAATGTTGCTGTCTGTTTGAATGGAAAATAGGAGCAGTGGTTTATAGGGGTTTCTGTTAATGGATCTCACACCACCTCACAGACGGACGAAAGGAGGAACGCAGCGGACTTATTCGTTATGATTAGAATTTTGTTAGATTTGAGTAGCCAGGTCGAAATGTTTTCTCATCCGTAGAACCGAGTCCCGACAATGTGGTAATCAATGTAGTTCAGGGACCCGTTGTTTGTGAAAGAACTTGACTGGGCTGTGGAAGCACATATGGAAGTCCTGTGATAATTGGGCTCAAGTAACAACCTAATGTTTTGACAAGGCAAGGGTTTTACACTTTAGTTTGACTGTCGAGGTCGTATTATATCAACTTTTGCTCTTTCTTACCCTACACCCTTTAAAATAGTAGTAGTTTTGCTCAGTTGTTAACACCCAGGCTCTAATTACGTTGATCTGGAGAGTAACTTTATAGATACTGCCCAATTTTAAAGTAACATGGTTTGTATTGAAGTCATTTTACTGGCGCGTAATTTAGATTTTTATACCGAAACTGATTTAAATTGAACGGAAGGCCAGTAATTCAGGTTGTATGGTGAAATTTTATGTCTCAATGACCAATGAGGACTCAGCCAAGATATTTGACTAAAAATTAAGACTAAGGTCTTTGAAATCACCTGAGGATATTAACCCTTTCTGCGTTTTCAGACAGAGGGACGCTACTCCAAACGTTTCAGTCATTCCAACGGAGATACTGAAATATGCCCCCACTGAAGCCGCGGATCTAAGTACCCTTTCGCTTGCCTTGTGTTTCGCCGGTGCCAACAGTTCAAACCCGCCCACTCCATTTCATGCATTCGTAGCTCAGTACGCCAGGAAAAAAGTGAGTTTCTTCTGGGATAAATTGGAAGAAGGGCTATAGCATCTATTTGTGAAAATGATTCAGGGTACCTTGTACGCCCGATCATGTGGCTTGCAGTCCGCGAATCACCAACGGTGTGTACCGGGTGTACACCATTTTCAAACCAATTGGTAGCGATAACGTAAAGGTACATACAAATCGGCTAAGACAGGAGGACTTCAGAGACCAGATTATTGTGTCTACCAATAAATAGAGCTTATTTTTTAAATGAAATTCAAACCATTGATCGGCTCATAGCCTATGTGAAAGTTAATCAGTAAATGTTCCGTTCTCTTCGGACCGCTTACAACTGGTTTTATTAAATTTGTCGCTCTCTCACAAGTTGTTGGCTTACAACATTTGAATGTGACCACATAGAACTGAAATCTGGACATCAGACTGGTTGTACTTTACGCCCTCACCAATCCAGTAAGGGCAAAATTAGAATAAAGTCAGATCACTCATCTGTAGCATGCTCGTAATACATAACTGCGCCACGAAGGCAAACTCACTGTGAGCTAATTAGTACCACAGTGAGAACAATCAATGCACAGTTTGCAGTTAGTCTAATAAAACATTTCTCTTCAACTTCGATGAACACTGATTTTTCATTAAATTGTTCCTTTCTTCAAATTTTTTCAAGTCAGTTTCAAACTAGTTCCAAAGTATCAGAAGCATGCATGTAATGGAAAAACAAGTTGTTCTAACATCCTAGGTAACAGCTGAATAGAGAGCTTTATAGGTGTGTGTCTAGTGATCAACGTTTCCGAGTTTTGTCTGCAACACTATTGATGTGAACCTTCGACAACAGCTGCTGATGGCTGTGCCCTAAATGAGCACGTGGCAGGCTACTGATATTTTGTCAGTAGTTTGGAGTTCCACTATAAATGCCCCTCAAGCAGGACCTCTCAATGCGCTCAGACACGACCACTTTAAATCATACTGGAGAATCTAAAGGAAACACCATATTGTTTCGTTTTTACTTACAGGCTTAATACTCTGAGTTCGTACCTGATCTTATAACCATCTTGCGAACGACATATATGATTATGAGACAAAATTTTCATCCCTGCTTCTTCATACCCAGGAATCGTAATCAGTTCCAAGCATGTAACATTTTCTGCTGCTGCTTAATATGACAAAACCATTATGATGTCACATTACAAAGACAAAACTGTAAAAATAACCCCAGTTTTTAGTGACCGTTTGTCTAGGAAGTTTGTAGAACCGAGAGACCCGGGTTTCGTATAAACTTTAAAACTGTTTAAGTGAAGCTATGAACGATTAATTGGCTGCTATCACTTTCAGTAATAATCGCTAAGCGTTTTAGCTGCTCATAATCAAGGGAAGTATCTGGTCAAGCCGTGAAAGTTTGAACCCATGTCTTCTCGGTTAAGAAAGTTGACTTTTTGATTTCTGATCACACTGCATAGATTGCGCTGGCTTGGCCACGTGCTGCGTATACCAGCAGACCGACTTCTTCGAAACAACCACACGAAGGTGGAAGGGAGCCAGAGGCGGTCAAGCAATGACTTGGCAGTAAAGTGTGAAAATTACCAGCAAACTCAGCTGCGCAGGTCATTGTCGTCTTCCTGGATGAGGACCTCGGGGTGGTCCACATCAATGGTTAGAGACTTTGTCAGACATGGCCCAGTCGCGCCCCCAATGGCGCTTGTGTATCCAAGCTATTGCCTTCAATGCATAGCTCCTTTTCCGACCCTCCACTTGACAGCCCACTGAGAGTGTTGAATTTATGCACCAATTTATCATCTCCCGCCTGCAATGCTCAGCTACACACCTGCCCCCCCCCAAAGCATCGGTAGACGAAACTCTGGCAGCGACAACCACGGCTCGATGACTACGCGGTTATTACAGCTGACAATGATGATTCTGATGACGATTTCTGATGCTAGACTTTCAAAAACACCTCAGCTCTGTTAGATGTTCCAAAGTCTTTATTGATTAGCTGCATCTTAACTGTTGTCATTTGGCGATATGGTTCGGTCATTTTTGGCCTCTTTTCCCAAAAGAACCAAAATGTTGGGGGGTGAGAAGCACCTTTTAATTCGCTAGGTTTAGATGAAGCAATTTTGAACGAAGGATCATTATGTGTGGGTTGTGCATAAGGCTGACGTAAGAGTATGAGAAAGCACTTGGCAGGTTCATAGGAATACCGAAATCTGCAGGTGAAAACTTTTCTTGTCTCTACATTTTACAAAGGTTGGATACAAGGAAAAACTGGATGGAATTCCAAGCTACATTTGCAAATAGTTTGCCGTTAGTTAGTTGCATGGGACGCCAACGATTACATTGGCTAAGAATTGTACCATTTTTGGAGCATGTTTTCTCATCCATACTTAAGAAATTTTGGGAATATTAACGTGATCAAATGCAAACTGCTTACTCCTGAATGCTAGTGACCATTTTGCGCTGTCTATCCCTCTGTGTGGTAGACCCATTTCCTTCTTGGTTTCAGCCCGACTCATCATAAACGGATAATGCGAAGTAATGCACATATCACGTCGCTTCAAAGTTTGATTCTATTTACGTAAGGCAATAGGATAGAACGCACTTGGTTGCGAGGCCGAAACCTCTAAGCAATCGGCCGTAGGAGTTTCACATACAGTGACCTAAGTAAACTCTAAATACGGAAAAGGATTCGCATGAATTCACTTCTTGCGGTGATACAAACTTTCACTGTGCACATCAAGACCAACAATTTGGTGGCAACCGAATCCCATATACACATTGAGACTAGTTGGTGTAAGCTAGCCGAAAATTCATGAACTCAAATCTCATTAAAATGTTTCTCAAGGGAAAAACAGGTCAGATTACGAAAATTCATACCTACTACTGATGCGATATAAGCAACCAAAGAGAGATAGCACACGCATGTATTTTTACTTCAACGTTACATCATTACTTCTGTTCTTAACTTTTCTTCTACTGTTGTTATTTTAACCCTTGGACCATCCGATCTTTTGGAAGGTTGTTAAACAACTCTTTGGAGATTGAAGATCCAGTAGGTTCAACCATATTGTGCAAATTTAATCACTTCATCCTGGGTTTGTGTTTCTGTGTGCTAACATTCTGAATCACTCACCATACCCACCTACAGATCAGATCCACTGAAACAGTGTCCGACACGATCCAAACAATTTCAGAAACCTCAGGGAGCTTGCCGGTGCCAATCATCACTGTGTTCAATGGACCCAGCAGCGACTATCCATTGACGGTGGGAAAATGCAGGTGTATTCGAGAGATACTTCTTGTTCCCAAACCGGATCTCAAACCGGAACAGGTAACAACCATCTGGAGCGTGTACATTTTCCATTTCAGATTTGTGAGCAACTATTCCATTTTAAACGTGAACTCGATCAGTTGTTGATCACCAAACAGGGGGTAAGTTGTTCCGGATTAGCTTTTCCCTCGAGAACATGATTGTTTCGGATCACTGCCACGGTTTTTCCCTCTCACAGATACTGTTGCAGTTGCAATGTCGGAATGGTGCCGCGAGTGTCAAAATGGATCTTCCTGAACAACCTATCGATCTGATTCACGAGTGTCTCAACCGGATTGGAATGAGTGACCGGTTTTTGATCGGAATAGACTTGGCCAGCTCGAGCATTTTCGACGAGGTAAGCCTATGAGTAGGCCTGCTAAAAGAGGAAGATGGGCTTTTAATGGCATACTAGAATTTACTGGTGACTACTCAAATAATGCATCGTTGAAGTGTTCGCGCAACATCCTCGTAGATCCTTCTTTGGCGATTAGTCGTGAGTGCGATTCAAGATAACACTTTCCACTCCCGACAAAACGCCTCAGAATCGTATCATACATCATATCGAGGCATAAAACCCAAACCATGTCTACGCTGATGACGGTACTGATTTTTGGTACTTCAAACGGGAACATTTCTAATATGAGACAACTGGCTTTGAATCATGTGTTAGAGACGTTCATCCCTGATAAGTAACGCTACCAATTAGTTTATTGGATATTGTACACATTATTGCGAAAGGTGTATTCTCGAGTTTCAAGGTAAAATTACGCGTACCGCCTAACTGGTGACTCCTTTGTGTGTTCCAGGTAAGCCCACATCGGTAAGCGGTTGAATATTATCTTTTAATGAAAGAAATAGGGGATAGATTCGAAAAAAACTGATCACCAGGATTGAATTGACAGAAAAATCACTATACACTGAAGATAAACAGGGATGTAAGAGTGGCCCACCATATGTTTTCGTAGGATATAAAGATTCCATACCAAATTTAGGAGGCACTGGGTTTGAGTTTCGCGCTTATCGAAAAATTGTTCAGTAGGTTTCAAGCGTCCGTGGCGCTTCCTGACAGGTGGGCCGATCGATCAAAAAAACCCGGCCATTTGGTGGGACGTCGTTTTAGACGTCGGAAAAATCAGTTACATCGCTCCAGTGTGAATTCGCTTGCCCACTCATGCGTCATAATTCAGGTGCTTCCAAAGTGCCTTCATGGAATAGTGGCAACACGCTCACCTGTCTGGAGTTCAAACCAGGGCTCGGCCAAAAGTGCGCAGTTTTGATGGATTCCAATAGGAGTTTAGTCCTCGCTTTAGTGTGGACTCACCAAAATAACCAAACCGGAACAACATGAAGAGGACTAAAAGAAGGGAAACGCTCATGCGAGAGTGATGTGAATGAAAAAAAGCAAAGTACTGGTGCCTCTAACTTATTCGTTTTTGGGACAGCCGAAAATCAATTCTGGTTTAGAATCAGTTGTCTCAACCTAATTCTCGATACATCGAATAAGGCTAGTCTAGATTACACTAGAGACGATCTCTTTCTGCAGAAACCGATAGGCGTCTTTTACAAGAAAGTTTGGCGGCGCAGTCGTGAGTATTACAACGTCAAGGTCACAGGTTTGGTAGGCTTAGTAGATTTGGACTTTTTGGTCCCCATCGTGATGAAAGACAAAGACTTATTTCAGGATGTAGGAGAAAAATAAAGCACCGCGTCAGCGTTAACCGGGAATGTAACAGATTGTTTCACTACCAGTGTGACGGTTCACACTACTGATGAAGCATGCAAGTAGTCTGTGGGCTAATGTTCGAATTCCCCCACCGAGTCTGATGGAAGTTGAAGTTCATTACGGAAATTGTGGAGCCGCTTTGCAGTATTTGTTTACTATTGTTCAACGGCCAATGAACGACCATGAAATTCCAATCGAAAGCGTGATAAGGTTAATTTTTCCAAAATTCTGTGCAGATGAGCTGTTTGCTTTCGTGTCCAATGACTTGTGACTGCTTAGTTCGTGTTCGCTAAACAATGACTTCGCAGAGAAGAGCTTACCTCCTTTCATCTGCAAATCTCATGCCAATGGAGCTTTGGAAATGGTGCCAGTACTTTACTGTGAGCTGTGACTTAGCAAAACAAAAGTTACCAGTAAATTAGCCCGATGGAAGTCAAATGGTTCCCGTCGAGAGATGGCTCGGTTTTTGATAGTGAATAGTCAACCTGATTTATGTACTCCTATTCCTTGTTTGACAGGATTTGAAAATTATGGTTTGTTTTGGATTTTACGGACAAATGACAAGCCAAGATTTATGGTTGGCTCTGAGCATTTCTAGAAAGCGTTCACGTGCTATATTGTCAAATCAAATGAGCTATATCAAGCATCGATATAGGAACGGCCTGTAAACGTTTTGCCTAATCTTCAAGGTCACAATACACGCTTTGAACTGAAAGAAAACCTACTAAAGCACTCAACAAGCACCAGATTCCAACGCTCTGACAGGGCTTCTTCCACTGGAGTGGATCTGGATGACACCACATCATTTGCTTGAAAAGTAGAAGAATTTCTTGTGTTTACGGCACACGAAGTATGTGTCTATGGCTGTAGTGCATATAAATATATATATACCTATATATATATGTATATGTATATATGTATGTACAATCATGTTGTCAGCTTCAGTAGTGTAAGGACATCATAGCCTATTGTTTTCTTCTTGCAGTCAAGAGGGAAATACGAACCTATCTCTGGAGCGCTGAAAACTGCAGACGAACTCGTGACCTTCTATACGAGGCTGTTAGACAAGTACAAGGATATTTGTCTTCTGG